ACATTATAACAAGTGTATTAAAACTCTCGAATTACTTCCATTTGAATAAAACAGCACCTTAAAAACAGAATTTCCAAACATTTAAATTTCTCTTTCCATCCCATTACTTTTTGTCGTTAAAAAAAAAAAAAAAAAAAAAAAAAAAAAAAAAAAAAAAAAAAAAAAAAAAAAAAAAAAAAAAAAAAAAAAAAAAAAAAAAAAAAAAAAAAAAAAAAAAAAAAAAAAAAAAAAAAAAAAAAAAAAAAAAAAAAAAAAAAAAAAAAAAAAAAAAAAAAAAAAAAAAAAAAAAAAAAAAAAAAAAAAAAAAAAAAAAAAAAAAAAAAAAAAAAAAAAAAAAAAAAAAAAAAAAAAAAAACGAATCAAAAGACATATAGAAAAAATAATTAATCACTGCCGTTATCGTATATCTTTTACGTTTGACAAAGTGAAAAGTAAAATTTAAGTGATTAAATTCTCGTCGCGCAACTTATAAGTGTCCGTTTATCATCTCATCGGAATACCAAACGCGCGATCGTTGTATTAATTAAGCAAATAAGACACAAGGATCGGTCAGTCACCTTTAGAGTCAAACGCGGCGTTAAAGGGAGACGGAAATAGGGACCCTAGTCTTTCGCGCGAGACAGCTGTATTCTTAACGGTCTCTCAATGTGTTGAACGAGGGTAGGTCAGTATCAGTGTATGCAGAATGCATTTAAATATGTACTCAAACTTGATCACATATGAATGTGCTTTATTTATGTTGTGTAAAAACAATTAGTAATATTTTTTTTGCTAATTGTGTAAGCGTGAATTAAACCGACGTACCATCACGAGGATAAATTAAAAAAAATCGATGAAATTGTACAAAACATAATTACTTTCATATAATATTAATATATCAGTATTTTATTATGATATAAAAATGAATTGATATGTTATATAAATAAAGCACATAAATAATCCATTGTTATTCTCTTTTATACTTGAAGTTATAGGGATCGATATAATTATATAATAAAATAATGGCGACAATAATTGATCATTTTAGTAATTAAAAGTTAATATTTCTCGAAATAAAAGATTTCTTGGAATTGACTTGATCACGCAATTGGCAAATATATTTTGTTGTGATTTTATATAAAATAAAAAAATATCAAATAAAAAGAGAGAAATCTTAAATATACCTCTAAAGTAGCCCTTTAAAGATACCGTTTATATTTGAATAACACATGCATCAATGCTCATGGGAGGGGAAGAAAAAGGTCCGATTATTAAAATCTCAATATAACGCGTCTAAAGTACCGTAAGCATCCTCGTGGCGTGGGTTCCGGCTCTCTCGCGTACCCCTGCCCCGACAGAGGCAGCCGTTCGTTCGCGTTGCGAATCTCCATGGGACTTTACCGAGGGCATGAATAAAAGGGGGCGCCAAGTCTAACCAGCCACCCAACAAGGAGCAGGTGAGCACCTGGTCCCCGTAACCCTGGCACGAGCTCTACTTGCCTCGCGAGAGGGTGCTCAATTGACGACATCACGCGCGTCGATTAACTCGATATCGTAATTATTAGAAAAAAATTAAATATTATTAGACAAAGAAAATATACTACAAATATTCAATCAAATGCCCGACGCATTTTTTGCGTAATTAATAAGGTGCTTCGATTAAATAAATAAGTAATATAATAATGTCACATGATCTCTCTATGCAATAATATAGTAATAATAATATAAATGTTATAGATATATGTGTGACAAAATTAATAGAAAAAAAAAATAAGCACACGAAACGTGCGAGATCGATACGAATGAGAAACACTGACATTTGAGGCTGCGAACTTGGTTCGCAGGGTTCAGACCGACGGCAGACGTTCACAGATCGTTGAAGGACGGGGAAATCCCTAGCCAGTAACCCGCCTAATTCCTTCCTGAACGCGGCACCGGGCTCTCACGTCCTGTTCTATCAATACCCATTTTGTCCATAATTAACTCGACATCCTCCGCCCATTTTTACA